ATGATCACAGAATTATATACACTATAATAAAAAGGTAAGGGTGGTTTTCTTTGAACAGTACATGTATCATTTTCATCACATTAATGTGCTGCACTCAAAAAATATTTAGACCTAAATTTTACATTTATGTATTTGAATTGCATATAAAATTTCCATCTATTTGGATTACACAGTTTTAACAAACTAATAAACTTAATGTAATGCATATTTGTCATTCATACATAAAATAAGATTTCTGTAATACTACTATTAAACGGACTTGTGTTACTTCAATAAATCCAATTCAACTAATTGAAGCTAGCCATATTTTAACAATGTTCATACTTTTTAACGGAATAAAATTTATTTGTTTCTTACAATGAACAGATTTATGCTGATTCTATTTGAATACATTCACTTTGAATATGATTTGTTAAATTAAAATTAAAATTAAAATAGATGCAAATAGTTGATAAAACTATGCCATGATTTTTGTGAAGAGGGCAGAAATCTTTCATTTATGTATGACTGACAAATATGCATCACATTAAATTAGTTTGTGTTAAAACTGTGTAATAAATAGGCCTATGCACAATTACATAATTCTTCAAATTAGGCCCATATATTTTTGGAGTGTACTGGACTTTCACTCGGCAGCCATCTTTGAAATGCCTCTCGGGCATGCAAGTGCAGCTCCTATTTCTTTGAATGGGGAAACATCAAATTCTTCAAAACTGTTCACCAAGCTTACGATTAAATTTCACATTTGAAATCACCAATGAAATCTGACAACAACTGCCTTATAAATGTTGTTTATTTGCATTTTTAAAAAAAAGCTTATTTTTCAGGCTAGACCAGCTAGTGCACTTGCGCAGTCCTAAGTGTGCGTCGCAGAACGCTGACTGTTTCTATAGCAACTGGGATTTCTAACGGCAGCTGCAGTGACGCGATGACTTTACTGATTAGTGATTGGCTCTTTTACTCAAAAGGCGGGGATTTTCGATAGAGCGGCCATATTGAGCGTAGCATTTTCCCTCATTCAAAACTATATGAGTGACACGTCTTGGGTATTCTATAGTCTTTGGTTATACCTGCGAAATATATAAAGCAACATGCTTGTGCTCACTTGGGTACTTAGGTAAGTGAGATGCACACTTAGCAGTCCTAGGAAGTTCATTCCAACCTCTAAATTAATGACCACTGGACAGTCTGTTAATCCTCACGCTTTTACACTAAGACCTACGGCCAGCCGATCAATGCGTCAACTGGCAGAGATGAATCAATGCCCTCTTTGACAAACCCCTCTCTTTCTCTCCGTGCCCACTCTTAGTCCTTTGACTTTTCAGCTTCTTTTTCTCCTCGCCCACTTCTTCTCTTTCTGCTCATGTTCCAAACAAGTCTGAAAACGATCTCTCTGCATGCCTGTTTCAATGAGCTCCATTAGGCCGACTAGCAGTAAGCAGTAAGCATAAGGTCCTGTGGTAATATGATTGCTAAAACATTAACCAGTCATTGCTTTGCTTTATGGCAGCTTAGAGTTGATGATGGAGAAATAATAAACCTGAGCACTCTACTAACACTGTATGAATATGCTAATGTCAATATGCTAAATACCTGGAATATGCTGACTCTAACAGCAGTATATTAATTATCAAAATGATTCATTTCCTGACCTAAAATGGACCTTAGTCAGGGTAGATGACATGTTTATTTTAACACAACTGAAAACAAGACTGAGGGACAGATGTATAGTCCTAAAGTCTTAGTTCGCAGCTAATTTTTACAATCAATCTTTTGGAATGATGTACTTTAGTATTGAACAACTGACACCAATGTACACAATAGTATAACCCACTGAATATGCTGTAAATATGTCCCTCACAACCTTGTTTCCTTTGGCAAAATTAAACATAGCTATTCTGACTAAGGTTTGCAGGTGCATCTTCACTAAGATGCAACTGAGAGAGTTTTTAGTCTGTCATTTTAGTGCCTGACTTGTCTCTTTAGCTATTTAAAGGATGCAAATGTGACAAGCTGAGAAGTTCCTGAAAGTCACTTTGTTCTGCAACTGCCAAGAACAAACTGGCAAATGCAGATGAATGTTATGAAGCCTTCAGGTGTGTCTACAAAGGGACCGACTGGATACCACACACAGACAGTAAGCTCTATCTCCACCTAGTGACATGACATCTACCAATGAGGATCGCTGATGATTTCTGCTCTTTCTAAATGGCAACTTTTATTAAAATAGTACTGGAAAAAGAGCAATATGGATGAGAAGGATGAGAAAACAATATTTTTTTGCTCTATTGAAGGGCTCTCTAAACTCAAATGGACATTTAGTGCTGCAAATCAAGAAGTTGAGGTTCACTGCCTTGTTATATAAAAACGGGCAGAGCACTAGAGCTCAACTCAACTATGCCAAATTCTCCTACATATTACATATTTTCAACAAAAATGACTTGCGATTATGGTAAAAAATTTATTTAAAAAAATAAGACAAAAAAATATCTTAACAAAAAACTGCTGAATCTGTGTTTTAAGTTTATGATATACGACGCTCTTGGGAAACAATAAAATCGTTTGGCAGACCAGGTAACGTAGACTATGAATTTTCCTGTACTTCAATTCTCACCTGCGTTGGCGATTGCGTCGATCTCCAGTTTTGTGATGTCACCCCTGAAGAGGGATATTTTCCTATTCAGCTCTTCATTGACTTTGTACCGAGGCTTACAAGAGGAGTCCCCTAAGAGGAAGCACACAGTAATGTTAACATGTATTTACACCAAACAACCCCTATATAAGTTGGCCTTCATACAACAATATATTCATGTCTTCATCCTTCTAAGAATTTATGGACTCCAGGTTAAATTGTTTTAGGATTTAAACAAAAAGACTCACTTTTCGTATTTCTATACATGATGAGTGTTTTAGTGTGTTTTGTTCACCTGAGGGACTCCAGACAGGAATCTTCTCCAGAGGAATAAAGTCAACCCTGTACATTTCCCTCCTCTTCTCCTTATCCATGGAGCAAAGCTTTTCTACCAAAGATAAATATGATATGAAAACATGTCATTTTATTTTGATTTAGACATTGCAGGGCTCAGTTTGATGTTATTGATAAATTCAAAGATTCTGATTGGTCATTAGCTGATTTGGGCAGTTAAAACAAAAAACTTGGATGCTGGCTTGAGTCTAGTCTTAAAGTTTAAAATAGTTTAGATAGATAGATAGTCGGGATAATGTACAGTCATTTGAAAATGAGTCTCGAAGTGACACAAGAGCCAGATCAACCTGATGGCAGTAATATATTTCTTAATGATTCTAGTTAAATTATATTTATTTCTGGTTCTCTGTCAGTGAAGTGTGTGTTGGACAGCGGTTCTGACATCTGTACACTCTCTAGGGAGGGACTCACTCTTCGCCTCTTTCCAGTCACTGCTCTCAGAATCCAGGTTCAGGGGCAGGGCGTGCAGCGCGCTCGTGCTCAGAGAGGCCAGCACCGCAGCAGAGACCCCCACGGCGCCTATAACAACCCTGGTGAAGCGGCGCGGCTTAACAGCCCCTCCACTCTGCCTGTGAAGGGACTTTGAGGCCGTGGAAACCTTCTCCCACCTGTCTGCTTTACGTAAGACCCCCGGGGAGGGCAGCACTTTGATACTCGCAGACCCTCTGCCCGCGCCGCAGAGAGCATGAAAGGAGCGATGTGCAAGTCTGCTGATGAAACTGAGATGACTCGGACATCTGTTTCCAGCGCTGGAAATGAACCCAACGCTTTTGGAGAGCGAAACACGAGCAGCAAGTTTTGACATCTGAAACGCCATAGTGTGGTCTGTCTCGACAGCTGTGGCAAATATAAAGTTTAAAGCCCGAATGTCTCCCGTCTGCGCCTTGATTTGATCCTTGTTTCGATTTGGAGTTAGTTGTAATAAGCAGTTTTATAGCTTTAAATAACAATAGTGAAATTGAAACTCGACTGTCTTGACTGATTCAATGAAAGCAAATGGGACTATACCAATATGTAGGGGTCCATGAATTCAATCGCAAGCGCTTCTCGTTATTTGGACTGTCCCGGATCAACATCATTCATCCTTTACTGACATCTAGCGGCAAAACGGTGTAAGCGCGATATTTGAGTCAAGCTGTCTTGTTACTAATCATTTTGGTTTGACTTATACAATTGACATAAAGTTTTATCAACGTCCTGATTTTGGATTAAACTTTATACGAATTTAGGTGCTGGTCACTATTTTTAGTTTCTTAACCATTATTTATTGGTAGTAGTATCCTGACACTGAAGACTGGAGTAAAGGCTGCTGAAAATTCAGCTTTACTATCACAGGAGTCAATTACATTTTAAAATATATTATAATAGAAAAAAATACTTTAAAACTGTAATAATATTTTAGAATATTTCTGTTTTTACTGTATTTTTCATAAATGCATCCTTGGTGAGAATAAGAGACTTCTTTCAAAAACATTAAAAAATGTTAATTATTTCAAATTTTTGACTGGCAGTATATCATTTTTTTAAATCAATTTATTTATAAAACAAATACAAAACAGAAAAGTAGCACAATAATTGCGAGTTCTTGGACAGGTAAAGTTTTTTTTAATGTACAAATATTTACTCAGTTAGATGAAGATAAAATTGCACTGAAATGTGATTTTTTTTTAACCCGTTTATATCTTTTTTTTCTTCTTCTTCTTTTGTGCGATGTTGGCTAAATAAACACTCTACAGAAGCCTCTCTTTCATATTATTTCAAGTGATAAAATCAATAATTTGAGCATAGCACCATTTTACACTGTGAAAAATAACAATACATAATTCCTATACACTCAGTTGTCTCTGCAGTATTTATAACTATCATGATTCTAAGTGCCTGAGTTTTTGTTGCCTTGTGTAAGAGAGCATTTAGTGTGAAAACAACACAGTTCCGTTACACCGGAAGCTGACAAAAGAGGAACACCCTATTTAGTCAGCTCTGACATACCATGAAAAACCACAACTGATTTTAAGCAGCAGAGGGGTCTTGTCCATATGAGTGTGTGTTTGTCTGTGTATCTCAAAAAGAGACCTACCAGCATTTAATTGACCGCACAAGAGGGAGACACCATCATCAGCAAAAGGTAACAAAATTATAATTATTTGACTTATATTTTGAGCTATTAACAGTGAGTCATTTAAAAACAGTAACAGTGAGATATTTCTGTAGTCACTTTTTTCAGATCATGAACAAACAGGTGATCATTTAGAATAGATATTTACAATATAATTCAATATTAAGTTGGTTAAATTACATCTAAAGCATTTTATTTATATAAACTGTATATTATCTAAAGGTGTTTATTAGCTACACATTGCCCTATTTTGCCGTGTTGTGTCTACATAAACTTACATTATTGTGGCGTTTAAATTACATTTATGTTACAGTTTAAAAAGTCATGAAGTTGAGTTGTTCAGTAATATTGTATGATGTTTCTTGAGTTTGGGTTTCAGGTTTCAGTTTCAGTTAGCTATATTCAGAATTATCACACACACACCCACACGACCAATACATATAAACCAACACACTCCATTACATGCCCTGATGGATTAGATGCTTGACCAAAAGAGGAAATGTGGTTCCATGTGATTCATATAAACGGGAAGTATCAGCCTCAGTGAACTTAACTAGGAGCAAGTCAGCATGATCACACTGAGCTGGTGATGTGTCACCACCATTACCTTCAGTATGATCATGTTAAACATGTGATATACAGCTGCTCATCGTTCCTTTTAAAGTTTGGTCATCAGGATCATTTGATTTCAGTAGTGTACAGAACAGCTTATGTTTGATCAAACCTCATTGTTTCCATATTTTTGGGATCTCTCGGCAGCAGAATGGCAGCGTGGGACCTTACAGTCACAGTGGAGGATCTTGGTCCTGATGCCCCACCCCTCCAAATCAGTGTGACCTCTGACCTGCACATTGGTGGAGTTATTCTCAAATTAGTTGAGCAGACCAGTGAGTTATGCTCAAGATGCTATTATACTGGCTAATAAAAAGATGCATTCCATTTTTTTGTTGGAACTAATACTATAACAGCAATATGACACACATAAGATTTACATGTACTACCATTAAAAAGTTTGTGGAACTTTTTCCAGTTTCGTGTTCTTTCTGCATTTTTGATCTAATAAATGCAGTCTTGGTGGGCATGAGTGACTTCTTTTAAAAACATTAAAAAACCTTACCTACCCCAAACTTTTGAATGATAGCATATTGTCAACAGCACAACAAATTTTCCCATATTTGTAAAAACTGTGTTTAGAATTAAGTATGGTTCCTAAATCTTTATTCACCCTGTGAAATGTTCCTGTGTTTTATTTCTAGATCTGAAGAAGGACTGGTCCGATCATGCTCTGTGGTGGGAGCAGAAGCAGCAGTGGTTGCTGAGGACCGGCTGGACACTGGATAAATGCGGGGTCCACGCAGACGCTCGCCTCGTCTTCACCCCACAGCACAAGCCTCTGCGACTGGGCTTGCCGAACGGGGCTACCCTGAAAATGCGAGCCTGTTTCTCCAGTTCTGCATTTCGCACGGTCATGGGCATCTGCAGGGTTCTCAGTAAGTGAAGGATCAAGATTGAATCCAACACCCCCTCTATAAGCAATCTGTTACTAAGTTTCATGTTTCCATTTCCAAAACGAATCTTTGGGCTATACTTTTGGAGGACATAGACTGCACAGAAGAGGAAATGATGCTGTTTGGAGCCCTGCAGGTAGAAAACCTAACAGAGAAAACCTAACAAATAATACTTCCGTGGAAACTATCAATCAGATTAGTCAAACTAGCATTAAAGGAATAAACACAAAGGCATTTACCTCTCTTTCTCACTCTCTTATTCAGTACCACATAGGAAAACTGTCCTTGTCTCAGGACATGGTCTCTTCCTGTCAAGGGATGGATGACTTGGAGTCTGCCCTAAAATCCCTGGAGGTCAAGATGGTGGGAGATAGCAACAGCACAGACATGCTGGTGAGAGACATATTCCTCTGTATTAACAGAACAGCAAAAAAGGGGACATGGAGATTGAATTGCAGAGATGCAGAAACAGATTCAGAGGTACTATCAGTAAAAATCTGATTTACTTTCACAGGAAAGCATGACTGCTCCAGAGCTGAATGACTACTTGAAAATTTTTCGGTAAGGTTCTTTCCTTTGGCCAAATCCACTGAAAAAAAATAAAAATTTGGGGGTAGAAACAGTTTTCACTCATAAATCGCAAGTACATTTCAGAAACAATTACAAAGAAACAAGTTTGAAACCGTTTGGATAAAATGTGAACATTTTAAGTCGAAAAATGAAAATAGTATTTTCTTGTAAAATATACTCCAAAAATCTTTGTTTTATTAAAGGGGTCATATGACGCGATTTAAATTACACGGTCATGGGCATCTGCAGGGTTCTCAGTAAGTGAAGGATCAAGCTTGGATCCAACACCCCCTCTATAAGCAATCTGTTACTAAGTTTCAGCTTACCATTTCCAAAAACGAATCTATCTTGCTTTCAGATTTACGTCACCCAGAGGAGCTCTCCTTGCTCCGTCCTGTTGAGGAGAAAAAGAAAAAGAAAGACAAAGATTCCTCAGAAGAGCTGTATGATCTCACAGATGTTCCTCTAACCGCAGGTGCACAAAATAACACATTAAAGAAGCTTTTAATACACTGCTGTTCAGCAAGGAGTCACTGGAGTCAGCAAGATTGTATGCTCATTAAGGCTGCATCGACTTGATCAAAACTATTTTTTTATTTAAAATACAGTAAAACAGTACTACTATGAAATATTATTACAATTTAAAATAACTGTTTAATACATTTTAAAATGTAGTTTATTCCTTTGATTTCAAAGCTGAATTTTCAGCAGCAATTACTCTGGACGAAGCGGAGTCCAGCCCGGGGTCGTCACATGTGGTTGCCGCAAGCCCGCCCGCCTCCGCTCACTCTAGCCCGCCGTTTGTGACACTGTTTCGTTGTGAAAGTGAAACTACTTTGTTTGGCCTTCTGACTAGAAATCAGTGGTTAAGTTGTATTTACAACACTGTTCCAGAACAGTTCAACCCAAATATTCAGATGTGTGCAGTACATTTAATGGAGGACTGTTTCCTGATCCTGGTAGAGTAGACTACAATGCCGGCTGTTCTGATGTTTTTTACATTTAAAGAATTTGCCACTGACGATTCAAATGGGAGTTGAGCAGTGTAGAGTAGCGAATTTTCAGCAGCAATTACTCCTTCAGTCTTCAGTGTCACAGGATCCTTCAGAAATCATTCTAATATGCTGATTTGCTGCTCAGGAAACATTTATTATTACCAATGATGAAAACTGTTGTGCTGCTTAATATTTTTGAGGAAACTGTGATACATTTTTGAGTATTCTTTTGATGAATAGGAAGTTTAAAAGAACATCATTTATTTGAAATATAACTATTTTGTAACATTATACATGTCTTTACTGTCACTTATGATCAGTTTAATGTGTCCTCGCTGAATAAAAGTATTAAAAAAATACTTACTGACCCCAAACTGGAATGGCATAGGCCTCAATTTAATAATAATAACATGCAGTTATCATTTTGGTCACAGTATTTTAGTTTAAAGTGGATTTTATCTGGACGTAGGCTCTGTTCAAGCTCTGTACAATGGCATGCCGGCTCATTTTGCTGACTCTCCGAAGACTGAGGCTGTGTATAAAATGCTGTCTGTCGGCTTGCCCTCACCTGCCCCTGAAGCCATCGCTAAACTCTACCGGCCAGCCAGTGTGGTGGACAAAACACATATTCACACCAGGTGCAACAGAGAAACAAACACAGACTTTAAAAAATATTAATCCACATTTCATCCTTAATATAAATGCTCTTCTGTTCCCTGGAGGTGGCTGGATTCATCTCGTTCACTAATGCAGCAGGGAATACAAGAGAATGACAAACTATGGCTTCGTTTCAAATACTACACTTTCCATGATATGGATCCCAAGGTAGGGGTGTTTGGTTAGGACATGTGTGGACAAAGGACAAAGTTTTCTAAGAGTCAAGAAAGAGATTCTCTCTTTGTTGTAGTATGATGCAGTGCGTTTGACGCAGTTGTATGAACAAGCTCGCTGGGCTATACTTTTGGAGGACATAGACTGCACAGAAGAGGAAATGATGCTGTTTGGAGCCCTGCAGGTAGAAAACCTAACAGAGAAAACCTAACAAATAATACTTCCGTGGAAACTATCAATCAGATTAGTCAAACTAGCATTAAAGGAATAAACACAAAGGCATTTACCTCTCTTTCTCACTCTCTTATTCAGTACCACATAGGAAAACTGAAACAATAATGTACAGTATGTGGAAAATAATGTGTTTTTTTAACCTTAAACCACAAAAACACATTTCATTACACCAAATACACAAAATAATGTTCTTTTTAGCAACATCATATGACCCCTTTAACAACCTCGAAAAAAAATAAAGTGCATAATCATTTGATATTTGATAATTTTCCACCCTGCAGGCCTAAGAGACTAACTCTCAAGGGTTACAAGCAATACTGGTGCAAATTTCAGGACACATCGATCTCCTATTATAAAAGCAAAGAGGACTGCTATGGAGAGCCCATTCAACAACTGAACCTGAAAGGTCTTTTTTTTTTTTTTGCTACACGAGAGAGAGACAGATGAAAGTGATTGAGTGAACTGAACATACTGCAGTAGAAAAAGATAACAAAAACTAAGTTGGATAAGTAAAACTTTAATAATAAAATCTAATTGGTACAGTAGATAAATCCCCTGGCCTTAAGTCTTATGAAAAGAAAGAAGATTTTGCTTTGTTCCTTTAATAAATTAAGGTCAATGCATTATGTATGCTTCACCGTCAATGAGTCATTTCTGCATGCAGCTTCCCACACTGTGCTTGTACAATATGTGAATATGTTTTCACACCTCAGTCAAGGCTGAAGCCAAAGTAGACACACAGTGTAATGAGGCCATGTTATCTGAAACACATCTGCTTCTCTTTAGGATGTGAGGTTGCCCCTGATGTCAATGTAGCAGGCCAGAAGTTCTGTATCAAACTCCTCATTCCTGCACCAGAAGGCATGAATGAAATCTACTTGCGATGTGAAAATGTATGTAATTGTCGATTACATTCATTTGTAAATGAAAAATCATCAAGGCTGCATTTATTTGATAAAAAAAACAGCAAAAACTGTAATACTGTGAAATGTTATTACAATTTGAAATAATTGTTTTATATTTTGGTCCCACTTTTTATATTAAGTGGCCTTAACTACTATGTACTTACATTTAAATTAATCATTTGGTACAATGCACTTATTGTGTACATGCATGGTTTTACATTGTACTTATATTTTAAAAATACCTGCATGTAATTACATCTGTAATAATTTCTGTAATTACATTTCTAATTACATTGTTGACCCATCCCTTACACCTTAACCTACCCATAAACCTATCCATACCACCAAACCTGTCCCTAACCTTACCCGTATCCCACCTCAGTAGCAGCAAATGTGTTTTGCAATACAATATGAACACAATAAGTACATTGTGCTTATCTTTTGATGTTAGTACGTAGTAGTTAAGGCCACTTAATATAAAGTTGGACCTATATTTGAATATATTTTGAAATATAATTTATTCCTGTTATAGAAAATCAGAATTTTAAGCAAATATAAAGTCTTCAGTGTCACATGATCTTTCAGAAATCATTCTAAAATGTTGATTTGCTGCTTTTTAGTATTAAAAATATTGTGATGCTTAATATTTTATGTGGAAACCATGATACATTTTTAGTATTCCTTGAAAAACAGACAGTCCAAAAGACCAGAATTATTTGATATAGACATTTTTGTTACAATGTAAAAGTATTTAATGTAACTGTTGATCAATGTAAATGCATCTTGGTTGAATAAAAGTATTAATTTCTTTAAAGAAAAAAAAAATCTGACCCTAAACTTTTTAAGATTTAAAAATTAGATTTAAAATTAAGATTAAAGATTAAAAACAAATTGTATTAATTTTTTTATATAATTTTTTGTTCCCACCTGCCTCACTTAATCAGGAGAAGCAGTATTCTCAGTGGATGGCCGCCTGTAAACTGGCATCCAAAGGCCTGACGTTATTGGACATCTCGTATCAGAGTGAAGTAAAGAACATCCAGACGTTCCTTTCAATGCAGCGTTCCAACTCTGCAGCTCCCGCTGCACAAACTGACGACAGCATCAACACACACAGCCTCGTCTCACCGAGATACCAGAAGAAATACAAGCCCAAACAGGTAGAGTGACCATGAAACTTGCGAGTTATTTCATGTTGTACGGCAATGTTTGTTTCACTTCATCTATTCAGTGTTTGTGTAGCCTTCACCTCTTCTTGTTCTTTTCAGTTAACCCCTCGTATCCTGGAGGCCTATCAGAATGTCGCCCAGCTCTCTTTGACATCTGCCATCTTGAAGTTCCTGCAGATCTGGCAAGCTCTGCCTGATTTTGGAATTTCCTACTTCATGGTCAGGTGAATAGACTAACCTTAGAGTCACAAAAACATGGTCAGCTCATTATGTACCTTTTAAACAACCTTGCATGCACTTGTATGAGTGTTTAAGAAACAGCAGGTATGCTATAGTATGTGGTAACACAAAACATTTATTTTATAATAGTCTGTGATTCAGCTTCACAGTACAATCTTTTCTTAGGTTTAAGGGCAGTCGTAAGGACGAAGTTCTGGGCATTGCTAACAACCGTCTGATCCGTATAGACCTGGGAATCGGAGATGTGGTGAAGACTTGGCGTTATAATAATATGAGACAGTGGAATGTTAATTGGGACATACGACAGGTAGGTTTCAATAAAAGTATGATACAAATTATAATAATAGTGCGATACATTTCATTTAAATGTATGAGCCTTCATTCTTGCCCTACGCAATTTGTCCCTGACTTACTGTTCAAAAGTTTGGGTCAGTAAAAACACACTCAACAAATATTAAGCAGCACAACTGTTTGATAATTGATAATTAGAAGAAATGTTTCTTGAGCACCAAATCATCATATTAGGATGATTTCTGATGGATCATGTGACAATGAAGACTGGAATGGCTGCTGAAAAGACAGTAATTATAAATTGTAATAATATTTCATAAAATAGTTTTTACTGTATTTTTGATCAAATAAATGCAGCCTTGGTGAGAAACATCTTACCTACCGCCTTTAAATTTTGAATGGTAGTGTATGTGCTATGACCTATGACACATCTTGTGTAATACACTAGTTTCACTTAGAAATTCAGTCATTCATATCATCAACACCTGTCTCTATCCTAGGTGGCGATTGAATTCGACGGAAACATTAACGTAGCACTCAGCTGCGTGAACGCAGACTGTAAGGTTGTGCACGAGTACATCGGAGGATACATCTTCATGTCCACACGCTCCCGACAGCAAAGCGACACACTCAACGAGGAGCTCTTCTACAAACTCACCGGCGGCCACGAGGCTCTCTAAGCACCAAGCAACAACTTACAGAGAAAAAGAAAACATTACTGAAGCTACAAATGGAGGAAACTGATAAGAATTCAGTGTTAGCACTGCACAGCAACTGTCCCTTTGTTTTGCTTGTTTTCAATGAGTCATCATTTAGTGATCAATATGCAAGCATTGAATTAAGAATGCTAACTGTCTAACAGGGAAACATGGATGTTTTCCATAACATGTTACACACACATGTAATGAGTCTGCATAAACCATCACACTTAATATATGACAGCCTAACAGGAAAATATGACAAAATTAATGATTTAAATGTCCGAAAACTATCTAACTGTATTGAATTTTGTCATTATTAGCAGGGTGTCTGTATTTCTGCCATCACATGTGAGCAACAGCTCAGAAAACCACTATCATTGATCTATTAGTTGAGAGCTCACAAATTCCTATCTCTGTCCAACAGAGTTTCAGTTACTGCACTAGGGTTATTTTTAGAAGGGTGGGAGAGTTTAGTATTGAGTTAACAAAGTGCCATCTCTGGATTGTCCTGATGAGTTCACAGCCTTGCTGATTCTCCATTATTCACAAGAAACATAATGTGTTAAAATACTGTGCATAATATTAAGCATTATGGTACACCATTATATTCATTTAAATTCATGAAACAAATGTACTATTTGAGTGTGTGTATGTACAAACATGTTTCTGAGCTTCTTGTTGTAATTTTAACTCACTCTCAACCCAAAGAAATGACCTCAAATCTACCAAACAATGTGGCAATGTTCTACATTATTTTGTAGGTTGGGGTTTTTTTTCAGTGTGACTTGTTGTTTATCTGTACCCATACCCATTGTGATTTCCACATTTGTATTTCGCTTTGGATAAAAGTATGTGCTAAATCACTGATCTGCTCAATCCTTTCAAGCTAAAGAACAAAATCTAAAGGAAAGTGTAATTGGGTAATATAGGCTCTTCTCATCCATGGAGGAGAAACGCAAATACTTTTTATACCCTTTGTAATTTTGAAGAATATATAGTACCATGTGAAAATGTTAAACTTCCTCAAACAGGTTTCTGAAACAACACCCACTGCTCAGTTCATTAGAGGTGTGAGGGTCCGGCTGTAAGTTTCCAGTCTTGACCACAGTAATACTTCAGTCCAGCCAAAGAGTAAGCTCTTTGTTCCAGCTGAGGGCGTCTCTCAGACAGGAAAATACATGCAGCACGTCGCAGCGAAAAAGACGTCACCCGGAAGTCGCCCCCCGGAAGTGCGCTTGTAACACGCTTGTAAACAACTCGCGAGCAGCCGACGGATCAAGGAGTAAAATATTTATCATCGTTTTTTGAATTTCACCAAACAGCAGGTAAATTAATAGCTTATTGACTTAAAACCTGACGTATCAGCGATACTGGATATCACTTTTCAAGTTAAATCAACGTCAAATACAAAAGTTGCTGTAAATAATACATAAGATATTGTGTTAATTATGCATCTCTTTACTCCGTCAGCAGATTTTGATCTTTTTTTTATTCATATTCCGAATGATTTATTCCGCATTGATGTCTTGAATCTCCGATCGCGATCTCTTTGTATGTAGGTGTAGCTGAAGATCATGTCGAAGGAGGATAACGTTAAAGTGTCGGAGGGGATCGTAGATCTCGAAGAGCCGAAGAAAATGACCCGAGAAGACTGGAGGAAGAAAAAAGAGCTGGAAGAACAGAGAAAATTAGGAAATGCTCCAGCTGAAGTTGACGAGGAGGGAAAGTATGTTGAGCAGATGAACATACCACATGAGCAGGGTGCACTGAACTGTTCATCCATACATATAATGACTGTAATTAAAGTGATTTTGTTTTTATCATACATGCTGTAACGATTCCCCTGGCCGTAATATTTTGTTACCAGGGATATCAACCCTCATATTCCCCAGTACATCTCATCTGTCCCTTGGTACATCGACCCATCAAAGAGACCCACCCTCAAGCACCAGAGACCCCAGACGGAGACAGAGAAACAATTTACACCCATCGGAGATTGGTACAAAAGAGGTGTCCAAGAAGTAAGCACTCCCTCTTCCCAAATAGTCATAAGTTATAAAAAGTGGTTTAGTGTCTAAACCCTTTCTCATTGCCTCCTTGTCAACTAGAAAACAGTCAGCACAAAATACAGAAAAGGAGCATGTGAAAACTGTGGTGCCATGACACATAAGAAGAAAGACTGTATGGAGGTAAATAGTTCATAAAATGTGTTGTGATGGTGTTATTGCATGTTGGTAATATTCTGTGTTCAGAATGGAATACTATTTCTATTTAATACTGTGCAGTATATACTACTGTTCAAAAGTTTGGGCTCAGTAAGATATATTTAAAAGAAATTAATACTTTTATTCAGCACGGATGCATTATATTGATCAAAAGTGACGGTAAAGTCATTAATAATGTTTCAAATAAATGCAGTTCTTTTGCACTTTTTATTCATCAAAGAATCTACAAAAAATATATCAGCATTGATAATAATAAGAAATGTTTCTTGAGCAGCAAATCATCATATTAGAACGATTTCTCAAGGATCGTGTGACACTGAAGTAGGGCTGTGCAAAAAATCGAATGCGGTTCATTGCCGATTTTGAACGCGGATTTGTGTAGCTTTTCAGTGAACTACGGCTCTGTGTAGTAAATGCTTTTACTATTTACGGCTTTACTAACGAGATGCGCATGAAAATTGATTTTTTTTGCACAGCCCTACACTGAAGACTGGAGTAATGGCTGCTGAAAATTCAGCTTTGCCATCACAGGAATACATTACAATTTAAAAATACTTTAAAATAGAAAACTTTAAACGTTATTTAAATTGTAAAAAAAAAAAAAAAAACACAATATTACTGTGTATGTAAAGAAATCAGCTATGATTAGCATAAGAAACTTCTTTTAGAAACATTAAAAAATCTTACCGACCCCAAACTTTTGATCGTTATTGATGTTAGAAATAAAAACTGCATTTTCATTTTTGATTACAATTTGTGCAAAAAATGTCTTTCATATAGAGACCCAGAAAAGTTGGAGCAAAGTTTTCTGGCACAGGCTTAGCACCAGATGAGCACCAACAGATTCAGCTCTCAATGGATTATGATGGAAAGAGAGATCGCTGGAATGGCTATGATCCTGATGAGCACACGCGCATTGTAGAGGAATATGCAAAAGTTGATCTGGTAAGTCATGTTGTTGGATATTTATGTTTATTTTATTATACAGCTAGGCTATTCTCAGCAAAGAGAACTTTTGTCATGTGATCATTGTCATACATTTTATTGGAAGGATCTTTTACTGTATAGGTAAAGCATGTCTAATTTAAATATATTTTTGTAACAGGCTAAGCGTACTCTCAAAGCTCAGAAACTCCAGGAGGAGTTAGCTTCTGGTAAATTAATGGATCAAGCTGTAAGTATTCAAATAATAAAAAAAAAAATTCTGGGTATTTTTCTACATTCCTCTTATAGCTATGTGATTTCTGAAAATGTTATTATATGTTTGTCACAACATTTTATTTACTACCTTTGTGTAACTAAACAGTATGTCTTATATCTAGAATTCAAGGAGGCATCTTGTCGATGATGCAGCACAGGTAAATGTCATATTCAGATTAATCTTTATGCACTTTGTAGACTATAAAATAAAACTCAAATCATAAAGCCACTTCACTCAGTCAATTAAACTTTTTTCCTCACCCTCTCTAGGACCACAGCAGTGAAGATGAGGATGATGACAAATATGTTGATGACTTTGACATGCCTGGACAAAACTTTGATTCCAAGAGACGAATCACAGTTAGAAACCTGAGAATCCGGGAGGACATCGCTAAGGTAAAAATAACTTGAACTTTTGCAAACCAATGAATGTTAATTAAAGGCATGACACTACTTGTTTTTCTAGAAATATGTGCAGTTTTATTTATTCATTTATTTATTGGCAGCTGCGTGAAAAAAGACTAATATGGTCTTATCATCAGGATTTGTAGTAGCATAAGATTACACATTAATATTTTTACCACAGTCTGCTGTATCATGTTTTTCCCAACTTATTTTACAGTATCTCAGAAATCTGGATCCAAATTCAGCCTACTATGATCCCAAAACTCGAGCTATGAGGGAGAACCCATACTCCAACACTGGAATGAATCCAGACGAGTAGGTGCATTTCTCATTTTCTGTGCATGCAATCAAGGGAAATATTGGGGAAGTTACAGGCTTCTTACAGAAAGCTTGCAGATTGTGTACTAAGTAGGGGTTACAACACACATTGTTCACCACTAAGCAAGGCATACGTTGATCTAATTAAGTATTGGATTGTAAATTGCTTTAGATGAACAAAGCCTGCTAAATTCCAAGAAAGCTGATGTTGTTCAGCTTACTAAATTTCAAGGAAGCTGAAAAAATACATCACACAGAATCGCACAGTCTTTGAGTGTCTATTTCTGTAGTTGTCTCTGCCTGTCCTCAAAAGCATGTGTTTGGTTTGGCAGGGTGGGCTACGCTGGAGACAACTTTGTGCGCTACTCTGGAGACACCATTTCCATGGCCCAGACACAGCGTGAGTACTCTTTGTCAACTCATACATAAATTCCTCTCTACCTGATGTTAAATGTGGGCTCCAGACTCTCAGTTCCTGTTGGTCTAACATTGTTTTGTGCGTCTCCTCTGCAGTCTTTGCTTGGGAAGCCTATGAGAAGGGATCTGAAGTTCACCTCCAGGCAGATCCCACCAAGCTGCAGCTTCTCCATCAGTCCTACAGAGTCAAAAAGGATGAATTCAAAGAGAAACAGAAAGAGAGTATTTTGGAAAAGGTACAGTTTAGAATCCCCTTTTTTTTCTTTTTTTTTTTGCACACAGCAAAATTTCCTTCATCCACTGCTCGGTGTACTGATGGCTTCATGTCGCACCTCTCTGCAGTATGGTGGGCAGGAACACTTGGACGCCCCTCCACGAGAGCTTCTGCTGGCTCAGACAGAGGAGTATGTGGAGTATTCTCGTCACGGGGCTGTGTTGAAAGGACAGGAGAAGGCTGTGGCCTGTTCCAAATATGAGGAGGATGTGCTCATTAATAACCACACGGTAAGTTTGCTGGCACTAATGGAAGTGTTACATAACTGGACAAGTTGCATAATAATGATAGATTTTGTTCTGTGAATGTTAAATATTTCCTTTGGTTTTGCAGTGTATCTGGGGATCGTATTGGAAAGATGGCCATTGGGGTTACAAATGCTGCCACTCGATGGTGAAGCAAAGTTACTGTACAGGAGAAGCTGGCAAGAAAGTAGTGGTGCGTATCAAATGTATCCATTGCACTGGCAAATAATGTTATGCATGACTTAGTAATACAGGCAGCAAAAATCAGATTTTTTTAAATTATGTATCAAAGCATTTATTTTATATTATTAATTTTTTTTATTTTATTAAATGCATAATATTTTTTATTATCATTTATATATTTAAAAATTCTGCTTCTTTTTTCAGAGTAATTCTTGTATTCCATTTGAAGAGGATGGAGAGGAGGCCCAAACGAGTAAAGAACCAAAGACACTTTTACAGGTACATTTACAGCCGCCTTTCTTTTGTGATATAATTCCAATAGAAGAACATGGCAGGAAGATGACTATATTAAACTAATATGTTTTTTATTCACAGATGCACCAGGAAAAAATGAAAGACAAGAAAAAGAAGAAAAAGAGCAAGAAACATAGAGATTCTGACAGCAGTGATGAGGATGACGAAGCAAAAAAGACGGAAAAGCTGAAGAAGGTGGGTGGGCTGTTCCTGCCACACACACTCGTATTTTCATATTCAGATGCATGTGTGCTCTACAAAACCTATTGTAAAAGAAAAGAATATGTCTTTTTGTGCAGGCATTGAGTGCGGAGGAGCAGAGGCTGAAGCAGGTGGCTGAAATGATGCAGCTCGACGAGAGGAAGAGGTCGTACAACAGCCTAAAGGAAGTGCGTGAACCCACAGAGG